AAAAATGATTATGACATATGCCGAATAATGTGCAGTGCAAAAGGTGCAAGGACTAAATGTATGCAACATACTGTATTTGCACTCACTACAGTAAGATATTGTTTGTATTACATTGTAGAAAATACTATAGAAATTATGTTTTCGAACTAAAACGTTTGGGAAAAATAATTCATACAAACACCATCTGGTGATACTTTAAGGAACTAGTAACTTTTTATGCTAATTAAGAAACGTTTCTTATATTTAAAAAAATATATATATATATGTATATGATTTTAAATTTTTTTTTTTTTTTTCATATTATTAGAAGTAGTAGTAGTATTAATCATAATTATTATATAATCATTTAAAAAAATCAACCTAATCTTCCATCCTGCTGAAATTCATCACGTCCAACAATAATAACAATAATCTCTTCATATCCTGACATCCACAGTTATATGCTTCAATGTATGAGCTTCATATTCTGACAGCTGCTCCTAACAACAAAGATGAGATGAATCATCATAATCAAATAATAATAATGAACTTTTTAAGGTTCAAAAGAGGAAGAAACTGTTTAAAAGCGCTCCTAAAGAAACAAGTTGTAAGGCTGGATTTGAAGTGGATTTTGGAGAGAGCCAGTAAACATCTCGTTTCAGTTCAGCCTCCGTCTCATTAGCAAGAGCTCCAGAGACACACAAAAGAGTTCAGCTTCACTTCACCAGAACAAAACACAGGAATCTGACAGGAGAGCAGCGACACAAGTTCATCCTGCAGTTACAGCAGACACATGAAGCATCATGTTAGAATATGATTTAGCTGATGTACAGACATTTATATTGTAACAAAATGACAATTAAATGAAAACATAGATTCACTTTATATTGAATACAATCAGCTGAACGTTGGCTATTGACCCACTTAAGCATATACATCTTTACATATAATTTCATAATTTTTTAAAATAAATCATACTGCCGAGTACAGTATATGGTAAACTTAAATATACTTTAATGTCATTTCTATTAAAATATGTTTGTCATTATGTAATTGCACATTCGTAGTGATGAATTTGCAGTTTAGTACATTTAAAGTATATTAAGTATATTATCAAACACACTATAGTTTACAGGTGCTTTAGTATGCTTTTATTTGACAGAATTACAAATTGCTCTTTTTAAACATAGTCATAAAAGTGTCTCTTTTTAAGTACACTTAAGTGGTCTTTTATTTCATTAATATTGTATTATCTGCAAGTACAGTTTTTTTTTCAAATATACTTTTAAGATTTGAAGCACACTAGTGTGTATTTGATACAATTAAGCACACTTCTTTTTCATATAGATTGCAGTATGGTTTATGGGCTGTTGTGTTGAATATTACATTTTTAAATTCATACAAAGCAGAATATTATTTACTCTTCACCATAAAAGTGATTTGTTGCTTCATCTTAAACAAACATGGTTGAACTCTGTAGGTATCGTCTTAAATCATGAATTTACATTAATATATGAACAGACATTTTTGTGACTTGATGAAGAAAAACAAAGGATTGGCTGCATGGGAAGAATTATATACTTCTACTGTTTCTGCCATATTATTAGTAGATAAATTGTTCACCAGTATTCCTAAAAAAAATGATGTTTTTTTGAAAAATAAAGATGAAGAAACACTTGAGAGCATTTTTTTATAAATTGTAATTTTTCTTTGTAGAATTTCCAAATTTAGGTTATTAAAAAACGTTTGTTTCTAAAACATTTAAACATCCAGTTTTCTTGTCGTGACTCTAAAGTTATTTAAAGGCTATAAAAACGTTCTACTAACCTTATTTTCACCCATAATATAACATTATTTGAATGTTTATTTTAATAAGAACATTAAAATGTTTCGTTGTCGTGTCATAGAATGTTAGAATGTTCTTTGAAGGTTGCAAAAATGTTTCACAATGTCCGTCAAGTACAAATAACTTCATAAGGACGTTCTGAGAATGTTGATCTCAGAATGTTTTTTCCTCAGTGTTATGGGAATGCCATAAGAACATTCCATAAACATGACTTTAAGAACATTTTGTCCTAACATTCATATAACTTTTAAAAAACGTTAGTGAAAGTTAGCTGGGTTAGTGCAGTAGCTACTGGGGAAAATGCCCAAATGAACATTCACTCAAACCAAAGCAGTTAAATGATTTAAAATGTGCGTTTCCTAGGTGTGTTAATGATCAGGGCACGTGTCACGCATGGAATGCTGCATGTAACTGCAGGAAAACAACACCTGGCATCTCTGAGTCATGTCAACAACACTAATTGTCCTTAACACTTGCCCTGCGTTAAGTGAGTGTAATGCGAGGCATGCTGGGCATGTGATCAGAGGTGAAAGTGTGATTGCATCGATGGACTGTCTGCATCTTATCACACTCTCATCATGTGAACCTCCTCCATTATCTGATACTGTAATACTTTCTATTGCATGTGTCATGTTCAACAATGTGAGCATATACAGTACGGGCTTATATTACTCAATAGAACGGGAACATGTAAAGGAATGGAACTCAACCCCACAGATTGATGCAATAATTTATTAGGGGTGAATTTACCCAGAGGGGACATCTGTTAGACAAAAACTAGGGCATGGGATCTAGGCCCCTATAATTGTCCCTTCCTTTTGTCTTCACTTTAGAGCCCTGTATACCATGGTACTGTGTAGTTAACATATTTATACCATGGTATTTACAAGCTACTCTAAGGTGTTACTATAGCCTATATTGTCCAAAAACATACTAACACCACAGTTTTTTTCATTGTTTGTTATAGTTGTCTTGTTTATGCTGTTGACTGTTATGCTGTCTACTCATGCCCTGTTGAAAAAACCAGCATATGCTGGTTAGATATGTTTTGACGCTGGGATGCTGGTTTATGCTGGTCCTTTGCTGGTTTATGCTGGTCCTTTGCTGGTTTATGCTGGTCCTTTGCTGGTTTAAGCTGGTCCTTTGCTGGTTTAAGCTGGTCCTTTGCTGGTTTAAGCTGGTCCTTTGCTGGTTTAAGCTGGTCCTTTGCTGGTTTAAGCTGGTCCTTTGCTGGTTTAAGCTGGTCCTTTGCTGGTTTAAGCTGGTCCTTTGCTGGTTTAAGCTGGTCCTTTGCTGGTTTAAGCTGGTCCTTTGCTGGTTTAAGCTGGTCCTTTGCTGGTTTAAGCTGGTCCTTTGCTGGTTTAAG